AACCCTATATTTTGTCTTCATTGTTTGATGTCCTGCCTTGCAAGTGGTCTACTATGTTGGTAATGCTTTTAATTGGACTTTTAATTTAGTTTATTGTTTCTTTCATTTCAAGGATTTCTGGTTTTTTTTTTTTTGTTGTTGTTTTGTTTTTAGAGCCTCTATTTCCCTGTTGAGGTGATTTTTTGCTTCCTGTATTTGTTTATGTAGCTCTTTGTCAAAATGATCTTTTACTGCCTGCATTTGCTGTATTATATCATCCTTTAATTCACAGAATATGTTAATCATGTACATCCTGAACTCCTTCTCTGTAATTTCTTCTGGCCATGAATTCTAATAATGTGGTATCATGATTTGTTTGGGGTCCTTTCTTCCCTTGTCTTTTTATCTTGCTTGTGTTTCTTCCCTTCTAGCATTGTGGGCCTAAGGTGTTATTGTTTTTACCCTATGGCTTAGAGTTCTCCTGTAGGGTTCCAATACTTCTTATTTGTAAGGAAGGACACTGTTAACAGATCCCAATATCAACAATATACCACCTATAACCAATTAATTGCTATTAAGATGTTTACAGTCTGGTCACAATTTACAGAAATGTTGAATTTGATTATTATCTATAATATAATCAATAGACTTGAAAAAGTGTCTACAGTTTCTGACATTGGACAATGAACTGGAGGTGAGGCATAGGATGATATGCTGAGGAGGCAGGATGTGAGAATATAGAGTTAATATATCTTAGGAAGTATGAAAGAGAAATCTAAGAAAGAACACTAGTAGCAAGAGAATAGGCTGGAAGTAATTTTGGGTAGACAAGTACATGGGAAGAGAGTAGAGTACATAAAACAAACACACATATGTATTCAGAAAAATAAAGGGTGTTAAAATAGTAAAAATTGGAGGAGAAAAATAAGGTATATACAACACACCTATAATATATAATATATTATTCAAACGTCCCAGTCCTCAAATTCCTAATTCATGTAAAGTACTTGGTTTCACCTATGTTAGGGATTTGAGGGTGGGAGGATAGAGAAAGAGAAGAGAAAGAAAGAAAGGGAAAAAAAAAAGCCTTAAAGGAAGAAACCAGGATTATTGATTGTTTTGGAGATCAGTATCTTTCTTGCTTCCCTTCTCATCCAATAGGTGGGGTTTTCTGGTATCTCCACCCTCAGGATGGTGAAGGTAACCATGGTGGGAGGGCTGGGTACGTGGAAGTGAGGTGTGACACCTGCCTGTCTCTGCAGAGAGACTGCACCTTACGGGTCATTTTTTGGGACCACTCATATGACTTGAGCGCCCAGTTCTATCTCCCTATCTTGGCTGAAGGTTTCCCAGTTCCTGGTCTATTAGTCCATAAACTTTTGCCTAGTTTCCCTCTCCCTTAGCAGTTTCTAATTAAGAGACCTGTCTCACTGGGGCTCCTGTGTCTCATTGCATACTGTCCCACTGAAAGCTGTTTTGTGTTGGGCAGTTGCTATGCCAGGTTACCGCTGCTGGGAGAGTGGGAAGTTGGGAACTGGGTACCTGGCCAGCTGGAGTTCCAATCTGGTGGCTGCCCCCACTAAATAGGGCAAGGAAGGTGGCCCAAGTTGGAGGTGGCTCACTTCCAGCACTGGGGTTTTGTGTGGGGTGGAGGAAGTCGGGCAATGGCGCTGTGCAATGTGTTCAGACATGAGCTGTGTGATGTTTAGTACTGCAGATTTTGGCTGTCTTCAGAGCTGTGAGATGTCCCCAGGTGCAGGGAGGTTGCTGTCTAGGGAACTATGTCAGTAGCTGATGAGTGGAGGCAACTGGGGTAGCCCTTTGTTGATAGTTGGGGGCCCACAGGGGAGTGGCAGCCAGAGTTTCTGTGGATAGGTAGCAGCTGACTGTCCTGCATGGGAGTGAACAATGAGTTTAATTCCTTTTTTTTTTTTACACGATTAAGTTTTCTACTTGTTTTGATAGCAACTGAGACTTAGCTGCTACCCTAGTGTAACAACTCCATGTCTTACCCAGCAAACTCTGAATTCTGAAAGCTTAGTTTGTGGGAGGGAGTAGAACCCTTCTCATTCTCTTTGTAAATGCAAACGTTGACATGATTCTTTCTTCTCAGAGACTCCACAGCTTCGCCTGATGAATGGAGGCAGTCGCTGTGCAGGCAGAGTGGAGATTTTTTACCAGCATTCCTGGGGCACTGTGTGTGACTACAGCTGGGACCTGAACGATGCCCATGTGGTGTGTAGACAAATGGGCTGTGGAGTGGCCCTAAATGCTGTGCACGAGGCACTCTTTGGGGAAGGATCAGGGCCCATCTGGCTGGATAGCCTGAAGTGCACAGGCGAGGAGTCCCATGTGTGGAAGTGCCCTTCTCTAGGCTGGGGACAAAACTACTGCACACACAAGGAGGATGCAGGTGTCATCTGCTCAGGTATGGCCAGTGAATTCTCACTGTATTGGAGAATGAAAAGGTCTAAGGAAGTGGGGGAGTAGAAAAAGAACAGTGCATAGAGGACAGAGAGGTTCTTTCATAGAACTTGAGTGTTTGAAATACCTGCAGATGAAGGGCTTCATTTATTTCCCTTCTTGTAAACTTCAAATATTGTTTTTTCTTTTCTCAGTTCTCTTTCATGATAAGTTTGTTGTAGGATGATTCCACTTAAAATCAATCATCATAATTTTCTTTCTCTAATTTACTATTTTTAGAATTATACATAAATTACCAGGCATTCTCTGTTCGCAGCACTTTTCAAAAAACACACAAGAATGAGGCTTTGCTTTTCTCTGTTGAAATGAATGTTTATATATGTAGAGCCAGAGATAATTTTGCACTGGGTCAGTAGCTGTATGGGCACGGGGATAGGATTAAACACCCCCCACCAGGAGAATTTTGAATTACTGGAAAGTTGCAATTCTTCTTTCCATATTTAAACACGAGAATTCTTAGCACATTGGCAGGAAGAGCTAGAGAACTGTGAATTAAATGCCCTGAGTCACAGCCTTTCCTTCCATCATACTACAGTAGATTCTTTCTACATTTCCTTTTCAAAGCAGCATCTATATAAACTCATACTTGGGATGGTTAATGGAACCCAATTGTGGCTAATGTTGAATTCCATAAAATATAAATGTATAATTTATTTATTTATTTATTTTAAGAGAGAGAGAGAGAAAGAAAAAAAAATTTTATTTATTTTTCAGTTTTTCGTAGGACACAACATCTTTGTTTATATGTGGTGCTGAGTATCAAACCCAGGCATGCCAGGCGAGTGTGCCTCCATTTGAGCCACATCCCCAGTCCTTAATGTATAATTTATTATGGTAAGAGAACATGTAGTTTAGGATCAGTATATTTATTCAGTGATCTCCCACAAATACACTGAGGTAACTGATGTTCACACACCAAACTAGCTTGATAAGAGAAAAATTAACCAGGTGAATGCCTGCTTTTAGTATATTAAAAAGAAATGACATATTCAAGAGGGAAGAAGTTTAGAAGTTTCCAGCCTCAAGCAGCCCAGCATGAAGACACATGCATCCTTCCTGGGGAATGGAAAAGAAATCAACCTTAGGCTTGAGACTTAAAACCCATGACAAGAACTGCCATAATGAAACCTGGTGCCCTGTAGAGTCTGACAACACTGATTTCTAAACCAGTGCCCTCAGACTGAGAATCTAGAACTGCGTTTAGTCAGCAGAAAAAGACTGTCTCCACCACCATGTCTCCAAGCTGCCTTGGCAGAGAGGGAAGCGAGACTCTACTTGCTAAGGAGCAGGGCACAGGGCTGGCACAGGACTTTTTCTTGGAGCTCAGTGCCAGGCCCACCATGAGGTAGTGATACTCAGCACTCAGTGGGAATTAGAAGTCTCAACTGTAGATCAGAGACCATAGGGCGAGAAAGACCTGAGTGCTGGTGGGACATATTCAAGTAGAGCCTGTGGTTGGTTGCAGGAGTCCTAGTCTTTGAGACTAGCTCAGCAGCAGGCAGTTCATAGCACTGAGGTCTTGGTGAATTCACAGTTCTGTGTTATCCCAGATGGCTGTTTTCTAGGGTTGTGAAATAAGCATGGCAGCATTGGTGGCCACAGGACCACCCTCCTCATTCCTCGCCAAAGCCCAGACAGCACACTATGGAGAAAGTACAGAATTAAGTCTCTGCTTGGGAGGTGAAAATTTAGTGGGCCACCCAGATTTGACCTGGAGCCTTGGGATCTTTACATGTTATAACACAGCTCACAAAGATGAAAGATAAAGAGTATCACAAAATCAACTTCCTTTTATATGTAATTTTGTATGGCAATGAGGGTTTCCTTTCATTTCCATGCAATTTCCCTTCTCTCTCCCTTTCCCTCCCACCTCTCTTTCCTGCTTAATGGTGATCTTCTTCTCATGCTCTTCCTCCCTGTTCTGTTTTTAGTTGCCCTCCTTATATCAAAGAAGACATTTGGCATTCGTTTTTAAGGGATTGGCTAGCTTCACTTAGCATAATCTGCTCTAATGCCATCCATTTCCCTGCAAATGTCATGATTTTGTCATTTTTTAGTGCTGAGTAATACTCCATTGTGCATAAATGCCACATTTTTTAATCCATTCATCTATTGAAGGGCATCTAGGTTGGTTCCACAGTCTAGCTATTGTGAATTGTGCTGCTATGAACATCGATGTGGCAGTATCCCTATAGTACGCTCTTTTAAGGTCTTTGGGGAATAGTCCGAGAAGAGGAATAGATGGGTCAAATGGTGGTTCCATTCCTAGCTTTCCAAGGAAACTCCATACTGCATAGGAAGGGCAGCAGAATACAACAGACACTAGTATGGCAGTATGTAAAACGTGGATGTGTAACCAATGTGATTCTGCAATATGTATACGGGGTAAAAATGGGAGTTCATAACCCACTTAAATCAAATGTATGAAATATGATATGTCAAGAGCTTTGTAATGTTTTGAACAACTAATAAAAAAAGAAAAGGAAAAAAAAAGAAATCAAGAGAAAAGAAACAAACAACACATAGGGGTGGCCTAATTCACCTGATGGCAGGCTTCTCAACAGCAAACATAGACCAGAAGTGAGTACCATGAGATTTTCATAGAGTGAAAGAAAAATCTGCCAATCAAAAATACAGAACACGTTCACAATAGCTAAATTGTGGAACCAACCTTGATGTCCTTCAATAGATGAAGGGATAAAATAACTGTGAGATATATATATATATATATATATATACACACACACACAATGGAATATTACTCAGCATTAAAAGAGAATAAAATGTCATTTGCAAGTAAATGAATGTAGTTGGAGAATATTATGCTAAGTGAGGTAAGACAATCCCAAAAAACTGAAGGCTGAATGTTTTCTCTGATATTTGGATGTTTATCTATAATGTAGATGGGGTTAGGGAGAACTTGGGAGGAATGGAGGAACTTAAGTGGAGGGAGGGGAAGGAAAGGGACAGGTGGATAGGAAAGATGGTAGAATGAGAGGCACATCATTACCCTAAGTACATATATGAAGACATGAATTGTGTGACTCTACTTTGTGAACAACCAGAGACAGGAAAAATTGTGTCCTATATGTATACTATGAATTGAAATGCATTCTGCTGTCATGTATAACAAATTAGAATAAATAAATAAATGTTTAAAAATACAGAACATAGCAAAACTATCCTTTAAAAACACAGGAAATATGAGCACATATATCAGATAGTCCCCAGAAAAATTACCATGTGATATAGCAATCCACTGCTGAGCATATATCCAAAGGAAATAAAATAAAATTGGGACATTAAAGAGACATCTGTACTCCCATTCTTATGACAGCAGTACTGACATTATCTAAGAAATGTAATTGATATGAGTGTCCATCAACTGATAAATAGATAAATAAAATGAAGTAAATTTATGCAATGTAATTCACTTTAAGAAAAAAAAGAATGAAATCCTTTGACTTATTAAAGCAAGCATTGAACTGAAGATCATTAGGTTATGTGAAATAACTCAGGCAAAGAAAAAAAAGTGCTTATCTTACTATATATCAAATCTGAAAGAGTTGGCCATATCGAAGCTGAGACTGGGATTGTGATTACCATAGGCTGGAGAGTGTAGGAGATGGAAATGGAAGGGTAAGATGGTAAAGAATAAGAAGTTTTGCTTAGATAGGAGCAAGAAGAAGTTCTAGTGCACCATCGCACAGTAGTGTGACTATAGAAAACAATAATGAACTATGTTTCAAAGAGCTGTAAGAAAGCATATGGGAAGTTTTCACCAAAAAGAATTAAAGTGTTTGGAGACAAAGATAACACAATGTATATATAACAACAGCACATCTATTTACCCATTGAAATGTATACTATTTGTGTTTTTAGGTAGCAGTTCAAATAAATTTAAGGAAAAAAAGAAGGAAAATGACAAGATATGGGGAAAGATTATATAGTTTATATCTAATGGATTCAAAGAGTACAAGAAAAGTGCATTGGGAGGTTAATTTGATAACAATAGGAACAAGGAGACAAATCTAATTTTTTTGAAGAATATAGAGAAAGCTTACAGTATATGGAAGATGGTGACAAAAGGGTGACAAAGAGCACACATGAATTATCTGAGCAGCATTAAGACCCTGGGTGTACGATGAGGAAATCTGTTTACATTTGAGTGAATCCTGGTCACCATAGCTGTACAAAAGGAGAAGAACGATTTACAAATGTGACTCAAAGTCATGTCACTGAGATCAGAATGGGGGAAGAAACAATCCCATGGATGACACATTTTTTAAGAAATTTGAAACATTCCAAAGGAAGCAATGTGTCTATATAGCTAAAGATCAGACAAGGATATATCTGACTGCAATTTTTAATTTACTCCATTGATAATGATTCAATACACTTCTGCAGATGGGATTTTTCTTTCTTTTTTCATCCAGGTCACATAAATTTTTAAATTACATGAAAATTTAGTTCTCACTACTGTGCAGCTTCACAAAGATAACAACATTATTTCCTTGAAATATACATATCCAGAACAAACAAAACAAAAACAAAAGCCAAACCCACTATAACATGGAAAGTTTGGGTATATGTTTTGAATAAGAAAACATGGAAGGAGACTCTCAAAATTGCCTTCATAACATATTTCCTATATTAGAACTGGACAGAAAGTTTAGATTGCGTCTTTTTTGAAGACCTCTTTACCTCATTTTTACCCTTTCCCAGTGAAAGGCATTTTAAACCATACTGGGCCTCTAATGACCACTCACCTCATCCCCTGCCTTGATGGACAGGTCATGCTGACACCTCTGCCTTTCAAAGGTAACTTGGAAGCCCAATGGTACAGGGCAAGTTTGCTCTTTGAGGCAGACCCTTGACCTTTGTGGACCACTGCCTGGGCAAACATCTGATGGAGACAATCCCATGTACTCAGGTGACACAGTT